GTGGTGCACCAGCTCCGTACAGCAGGGGATATATTTTGGATTAGATATTTTGTGTTCACATTGACTGGCGTGTGAGGACCGTAGGGAGTCTTGTATCACTGTGTGTGCATTTAGTTCTTTTTTTTAGTTTAAACAGAGCCTTGTTGATGCACCATGTGCAAAATCCCGGTCAGTTTAATTCAGATGCGGCGCACACATATCGACAGCTGAGATTGGCACAGCTGGGTAAATGCGGTGCGGTGAGACCATCGGTTAATGGAGTGATTTTATTCGGGAACGGAATGAAATAATCATGATTTGAGCACGATGATGAAATGTAACAGGATAACTGCAGCAGCGGAACCACATCAGACAGTGTGGTCAAACTAATCCTTCGACACTATGCAAAAAATTTTTACTTGATTTGTTACTTGAACTTAAACTCAACTTGAACTTGAACTCAATTACTTGAACTTGAACTCAACTTGAACTCAATGAACAACTTAATTACTTGAACTCAATTTGTTACTTGAACTGTGTGCCAGACCGCGGTCTGAGACTGGATTTGTTGTTGTGTTAATAGAGGTAGTCGGAAGTTAGACCTGTCGGGATAAGCAGTGTTTGTTAGTGAAATTCAAAGCAGAAATCTCTCAGTGGAAGAAAGCGGTAGCTGCAAACCGTGCAGTGTTTACATGTTAGGCACTTAACGCTAATTAGTGAGCGTTTCCAATGACTGAAATAATGGCGTGCACCGATAATGACAGGACGGAAATCTTTTTCTGACAGTCAGCAAAAAAACTGATTCTTACACAAAAATTGTGGAATCGCCCAGACATTAATGTGAGGCCCCTACAGAATTTATGCTAGCAGGATCACCTGGACCAATATGAGCTGGACTTTTCGATGTTACTGAGATGCACCTGTTAGAATTGCACCTTTACAAAATCAAATATGGCTGAAAAAAAAAAATTAAGAGCGCCAACGATTAACGAGGAAAAAGCAGCAACAGCAGTTTTACTCTTATTTTTTGAATACTGCAGATGGTAGCGATGCCTTTGCACCAAACTCCTTCTGGCACAGACAGCAACTCCACTCCCCTTCCGGTGCCCTTGAAAGGCGCGGTTGTAAGCAGTATAAGTGAAATCCGCGGTCACAGTCATCGCAGAAAAGAAGCTGATCCTGTAAAAATTTGCCAGTGTCATTAGCGAAATGTATTTTCCAGAACAAAAAAACGGGGCTTATAACAAGAAAACGGGGCTAGAACAAACAACAACATCTAGATAATAAATGATGGACACATA